ATGGTGCGAGGCAAGAATTAGAGAATAATTCCGAATCGACGGTCTGGCCGTACCGCGATCCTCCGCTCTCCTTAGTTTAATAGCGAAATTCGATAGAGTATAAAGACGACTTACACCGACTTACACCGCATTCATTCTGTTCGGCTGATAGTGCGTGTTATCGACAGCAAAAGATGCACTCGGCGTCCGTGGTTTACGTTCGCTTTGCGGAAACAGAATGATACTTGGGACGCGTTCTCCACCTCCGTTAATACCAAGAGTAACTCTTTGTAATTGCATCTCGTAGAAGATAGATCGCAAAAGACTGAATAAGCGAACTGTGACAGAAAACACAGTGAGACACGTATGCGACCCATTGTGAATAGATAAAAAATATGCGCACAATACTTTGGCTATAAAGGAGTTCCCATTGCTGCAAAATAGAAGATAAGATAGTTATTTCAGATGACGAGTAAAAGCGAGAGTCAAACCGCGAATGTAACTGTTTTGTCTTACTCGTTGATCAATGGAAAATATTTAAATGCTGTTGGAGATTTGTTCTGTTTCTGCAGTATATTTCGAACCCTTACAGAAATCCAGTTTAACTTTCGACTGTAGCAACGAGTCACTTGGAATCAAAGTGAAAAATTTTAGACAGTGATACCATCTGTATGATTGTTATTATGAGGTTCTAAATTATAAGTAAAAAATTTTGAATCTTCCTCTATCAAGAGAGGAAGACGGAGATTCACTTGTAATTTATATTTCAATCAGAACGCTTTAAAACTTAGGTGTAATTTTTGTAGCTGTAATTGAGGATTAATACTGACTAATTTAATACTGGAAGTTACTTATTTTGATTATTAAAAATACTAAGCAACAAAATAAGTAATTAATCACTATCTTCCAATATTAAATTTCTGTAAGAGAATGAGATACGAAGCGCGAGAATATTCTTTCTTCCAAAGAATGTGCAAAATTATTCGATGATCGAAGACTCTAAATCAGCAGACAATGTTTTTAAAATATATTTTTAATATTTATCGATTGCGAGATATTCTCGTCTTTGCAGAGTATATCCCTGAAGTATTCCAAGAGTATTTTCTGAAGAATATCCTCTTCGAGGAATAGTATAAATATTTCCGAGACGCTTTTCTCGGTAAAAGTTCTTTTGAGAAATATTTTCGTGCACGTCTTTGGACGTGAATTGCGGACGGCGGAAGTGCACTCTGCTGTTAAGGACTTAATAATCGTAATACCTGGGCTTGGCATTTGTCGGGGTATAGTGCGGCGTTTTGCGGCGCGTCCCATTTAAAATGGGGCCGCGCCCTGGATTTAAATCACCTCTAGGCTGTGAGATGCGAGCTAAGCAGCGGACAAACTTGCTCGAAACCTCAATCATATGTGTCAAATCAAGTATAAATCTACTTTTAATGTATATCGTATAACCAATCCAAAAAAAGAAAGAAAAAGAGAAAGAAGGAATCCTTTTACCAAAGCTCCCCTGACGGGAGAATATACACGACTTAATTCTCTCACTCCAAAAACTGCGACGATTTCTTTCTACCCTTGGGGACTCGAATAAAGAAATATATTTATTGACTCCCACATGGGAAATAGAAAAGAAAAATGAAATATTGATTATATAGAGAAATAAAGATGTTATTAAATATACATACAGAGCGGATCTGAGGCGAAAAAAGGGAGTCGATGAGAGGGACGTGTCCTCGAATTTGAGGCAATTCTTTCCTTAACATCTTTTTATGTTAAGTATTTTGACTTAAGTATCTTATTTAAGTACCTTATTATTTAGATTTGCGTATTAAAACAAGTAAGACTTTATCACTTGCGTCTTTAATATCAAACGTGCTTAGTACTCTCGACTTTAAATATCCATATACTCTTATATGATTGAAGTATTCGTTAAGGAAAATTTAATCTCAAGTTCGGTGACATATACCTAACAGATCCCGCCTTTTTTTGTCAACATTATATATATATATTATAAATATATATGTATACTATATGTATACAAGGTGTCTGCTTGCTCTTGACAATAGACATATTATATGTACTGCAATGGAAATTGAAGAAATGTGTTTGTGGGAGGAACGAGAGGCAACTTTGCCAACAATGATATACAATTTCGGAAGGATCAAATGGATATTGCGTATCGATGATACAATTGTATATTACTTAATTTGCGTGTGACGAATAAAAACTGATGTACGTCATTCCGTACGAGCTCGACGTATTATTGTGCGCGCTTAGTTTACTTTTAATTAGTCACTTAAAATACGGCGTCGCGAAACGCCGCTCGTAACTGTCGTTAGGAGGAAGTAAAGTACGGTTGCGAGACACCCTGTACACACATACGAGATACAAGATAATATATTTGTAGATACAGATTTTAGTCACATCTGGATAGTATATAGAGTCAATACTGTGAAAAACGCCTGTAACTTACCTACCTATACCCTCTAGATAATAGATGATGACACTTGTAATTGATTTTCGAAAGATAAAGTATATGAATGAACAAATATACTGCGAGACAGTCGATTAAATAAATAAATAAATAAATAAATCAATAAATCAATAAATGATATACCTATGACTAAACGTATCGATTTATATCATCGTCATTTCCTGAAGTCTACTTTTTTATTATTATATTCCCTCTAACATCCCGGGAAAACATGTTGTATAAACGGACATATTTTATATACAATTATTTATAATTGTATATAAAATATGTTAATTTTTTATATGATTATATATGATTTTATATACAATAATAACATATTTTTTTCCCGAGATTATTACATTTTTTATACGATTATTGTCTTGATTATTGTCTCTTTTTTTTTTAAATATATGATTTCATATATATAATTCGTTTAATTCTTAATTAAATATTGTATAATGTTATCATATAATTCATTGTCTCTAATCTTTCTACATAATAACAAAAAATTAATAATTTCATTCATTAATGAAATAACATTAGGTATTACTTAATAAGTTAATCACTGATTAAGTTAATCGCAAGTTTAATCAAAGTCTTTCTACATTTTTTTACGTATTATTTGTTTCATTACATTTTTTGTCCATTTAAAAAGACCAAGTTTATCCTAGATGGCGTAAAATGAAACTTCCTGCCACCTCTTATACATACGTGTGATGTAACACAACACATATAAGCAAAACTAAGCTAACCTCACTGTCAGTTTGGACGGGTTTCGAGAATTGGTGTTTATAAAATTTTGGAACACACGTCAAGAGAATCATGTCGCGGTAGGATATTTTTTAAATTATATTTATCAAATCCTGTATTCTGCAATGTACAAATTATGATAAGTCAAGAATGAGCAAGAATTTAATGTTGATATGCATCAATTTTCATGCAGCAGGAACTTGTGACTTTGTTAAAGCTTCAAATTCTCAGCTATCGCAAAAGAATTTATCTTGAAAAGCAGCTGGATTCTATTTAATTTATTTGCATAAATTCTTTTACTTTGTGCATAATCAGGAAATCAATGTCTCATAGAGTTCAATCAGTGACTGAATTCTCATAAAAATCAGTCATAACAAAAGAGAAATGATATAAGATGTTTTCTTTAATTGTTTACAGTTAATAATATAGCTTTAAATAATTATCATTGCAATTTACCATAATTTGTTACAATTTACTTCTTAGAGTACCAGATGTCCCAGACAATTCAGCTACGCTGGGAGATAGACCTATGTCTATAGCGCGTCGTATGGACCATGAAAGAGAGCGGATGCTGGGAATGACGGACGAGGAACGGGCATGGAGGAAAAAATGGTTGGATGCTCAGAAACTCGCGCCTGAGGAGCCAGTGTATCCCAAGGGTTACTATGAAGCGATGTACAACCCAATCAGAAGATTCTACATGGCACCTATGAACAAATTCGAGAATATTTTGGCGCCAGTTATAGTAATAAAAAATATTTAGTTGATAATCTGTTAAATGCAAAGTAACATTATACAAACATTATTGTCCATTCAATAATATAATGCACATAAAAGTTATCTATGACTCAGATAGCAAAATGCTAGCAGTTTACTGGCAGACTGGCAGCAGAGTCGATCAGATTCACATTGCAAATCTATAGTCATCCATATTAAAAATACATATGTATTTCATAATAGTAAAACAATTTTGAAAAGAATTTACAGATTAATCTAGATTGCATTTAAAAGTAACAAATTTAGCAACGAATTACCATTTGGATTAAAAATTATTTCAATAACTAGTATTTTTTTTATCTGTGCTTTGATAGAAATATATAGAAATGTATTATAAAATAACAAAAATCTCAATTTTTAAGATATAAGTATTTTAAGTATTCAAAATGATTTGTGTAAAGTTACATTCTGATGCAAAAATTAGTTATCTTGTAAATAAATAAAATATTTATTTGTTCTAAATTTTTATAACTAATGATGAATCTTCAATGAAACTTCGCATAAGTCGTTTTAAATACTTAGAATATTTATAAAAAAAACATTTAGATTTTTGTTATTATTTAAAAAAATTTTAATTTATAACAATAAAAATAATAACAAGTAAATAAACTATTAAAATGTGTTCAATAAAAATAAAATGTATGCAATAGTGACACAAAAAGATTAACAGTTTTTGCTTCTTTACAGGGTAAGTTTTCGGCGAGCGTAACACGGCACTTTATAAGCAAAGTGACGATGTCTATTATTGCATTTTATGGTATCTATTATTATATGAAGTACAACAGAATGGTAACTATAACAAGAATATATTAATATTTCAACATACTAACTGTAATATTACTTAATAGACATTTCATATATATGTATTATTTGGTTCTTTCAGAACTGGACGAGAAGCGGTGGATGGAAAATCGCAGTGTCCAGGGCGAAAATGTACCCTGACACCAAGGACTTAAATGCTTTATACAAAACGAAGGGCAATCAATTCTACGTAAATGGTTTCGACAAATCTCCTATATAAATCTTAAAAATGCGCCATTTTCCTTGTATAGTTGCTATTTAATTAACATCGTTAAATGTCATTAAAGTAACAAACACGATGTTATTAATAAATTTATGTTATTAGTAATAAATTGTTGATGATAATCTTGTTTATAAGACTTATATTTCAAGCTCTAATTTATTTTTTTAAGAAATATCTCACTTGTGCATTGCGAATTTTCAAAATTCAGATTATTTATACTTTAGTTTGTCTTATCTCTCTACCAATATGTATATTTTTAATTATTTTAAAAATGTATCATTTATCGGATATCAAGAGAATAATATTATATATTAACAATGTTAAACATTATTATATGAATGGCATCATAGTTTTTGCAATATTTCTCAGCTGTCTAATGCTATGTATAAAAATTATTAGTTTTTTTAATTAATATCATTTTTCGTAAAAAATTTTATAGAGAATATATTTGAGAATATCCTTTTTCAGAATCATTTTTAGATAAAAACTCAGTTAAAAAATATGTTAAATAACAAGTCTGTATTTTGTTTATATTAAGTTGCTATCAAAATTGTTTTTTTTTTTACAGGATTTCGTAAATCACGTTTTTAATTTTATCGCCAGTAGCTATGTATACAATAGTTCCCAAATTTAAAATGGATGTACTGGCGCTAGTGTACGGGCGATTTTATTTATTTTTCAATTTAAGTGAGGTTATGTTATCCTCAATCATCCTGTTCTAGTAAACACAACTGATACTGGTAAATACTTTACTTTTATGGTTGCATTTCCGAGTTAGAATCGACGTTAGATTGACGAAGTTAATCTCTGCGAGATGGCTGAAACCCCTTTGAGTTTGGGCGAGAAAACATTCATTATTCACGGAGTTGATGTGAGTATTTTCCACAGTGTTTACGTGCACGTGCAATTATTTTCTATGATCCCTGCATGCTTTGCTAGCATTTATTATTTTTGAACACTAATTGTTGCTGCTAATCTATTAATTGTCAGATTTCTAATAATCTCAGATTATTATAGATGAAAATTAATACTTTATTCGAAAAACATTTTTCTCTTATAGTTTTTATAATTCAACAGTTAAATTTCTGGAACTTTTGATATGTACTATATATTGTAACAATTGATTTGTTAATTTCAGCTTGACCTCAGAAATGATGGTCGATCCAGGTACCAGTATCGTCCTATCGAGATCGAAACCAAGCTGATGAAACATACTCATGGGTCAGCGAGATTACGTATAGGCAATATTACAGATGTATTAGTTGGTGTAAAACTTGAAATTGACATACCGTATGCTGAAAGACCAGAGGAAGGCAAATTAGAATTTTTCGTAGACTGGTATGTATGCATCTTGGGTTTAGATTAACATCGAGCGTACTTTGATTTAATATTTTTTCTAGTTCTGCTAATGCTACACCGGCTTTCGAAGGCAAAGGTGGGGATGATTTGGCGACTGAAATTAGCAACGTCCTTTCCATGGCTTATCAGACACCATATGCCTTTGATTTGAAGCAGCTGTGTATAATACCTCATCAGAAATGTTGGAAAATGTACGTGGACATTTTGGTAAGTAATATTGGTACAATATTACAATACAATACTCTGTTCTATTTAACTGAATTTTTTGCATTATTTCTTCAATGTGAACAGAAGAAGAAGAAAGAAATTCAGCTGAAAAGAACAAACCTAAAATCGAATTTAAAACTGCATTATCTTCTTTTCATCTTTCCAGATCCTTCAATGCGGTGGAAATTTATTCGACGCCGTTGGTGCTGCGGTGAAGGCAGCGTTGTATAATACTGAAATTCCAAGGGTGATCACAGCCACACTCGACGGTGGCGAACCAGATATTCAGATATCAGACGATCCTTACGACTGTATTAAACTAGATGTGACAAATTATCCAGTAGTACTAACGGTATGCAAGGTATGTAATAATCTTTAATCATTTTTAAAATAAATGAATTATGATGTTTTTATAACATACGTTTACTTAAGAAACAATAAGGAAACATTTTATTGCTTATGATATTTTTATAAAAAGATTCAATTTCTTTTTTGTAACTTTTTTATTAATTACTTTGTACATTTTCGGCAATTAAAGATATTTCCTCTAACAGATTGGTGATAACTTCGTGATAGATCCAACGTCGGAAGAAGAATCTTGCAGTACCGCTAGTATCCTTATGTCCGTGATGCCGAACGGCAAGGTGACGTCTGTAGTCAAGTTGGGATACGGCAGCTTGTTGCCTAGTACCTTGATTAAGATGTTGCAGGTGATAACAGTTTTTATATGTCTTAATTATTATATATTATAGTTAAAGGCGAATTTTGTCAAATTTGTCTTTGAGTCTGGATTTTCAGGTTGGAAAGGATATCAGTTTCAAGCTAAACGAAGCTCTTGTGAAAGGATTGGAAGAGGAAAACAAGCTCGGTCAAACGAAACCCATATTTGGATTTCTTAGATAACATTGCGCGATACGTTGTTATGGATTTTAAGATACAAATATATTTTTTTCAAATTCTTAGTTATGTGGACTCGTTAAACTGCACATTACTCCTCGCTATTTGGTTATAACTGTCAACGTTACGACGCGACGTTTCTCAAACTCTAACAGAGCATTTTTGATATTTGTAAAATTTGAAGATTGCAATGAGAATAAGATTGTAAAATGAAGTATCAATAGTACAGTTTCAATAGCATTTGACTATAGTATAACAATATTTAATTTAATTGTGTAAATTTTGTGAGTGTGTGTGTGTGTGTGTGTGTGTGTGCGCGCGCGCGCGCGTGCGACTTTGCAGAGCGTATGAATTTGAAAATCATTATTTTGAAAGAAAATCCTCATAAGGCGACATGAAAGATATGTATATGTATAACGATAGAATAAATATAACGGTATCAGAATCGTATGTGTATAGGTTTTAACACACACACACACACACACACACATACATACACTGTATACTATTATTTTTTAATAATAATTGTCTCATCTTCTAATCGGAGACAAGTACATAAAAATCTCTTAAAATTTCAATAATTTAGAACTCTTCAGCAGAAGTTCAACAGCGCTCATTTATCGACTCTGTATGGCATTTTCTTCCTTTCTTTTTATTCTTTTTATATGTAGAATTCGCGTCATGCTTTGCATACTCAACTCAAAGCGTATTCTATAATTCGTACTTTAATTATTAACACTGGCCTCCGCTCGCTTTGATTATATCTCAGGCGAATTATTGAAGGCTCAATAATCAAAGTCGATAAATGATACGTGTGCACACGCGCGCGATGAAGTCGGCTCCAGCGAATATACTTAAAATAACACGTTTCTCGTCCACAAAAATTAACATTGAGAAAAATAATTTTTGACGCGATTATTTCAATAGTACTCTGTTTTACAGTAGGGTATTCTTACTGTCGTATCAATATCCTCCATGAAGTCAGTTCGTTATATAATATGGGCAGGGAAGCAGGAAAATTCGCACGAAACTCGAGCTGTGATAACGAAATCCGTTGTTTCATTTCTTCTCTCATATTTTTTTTTCAACGATTCCTTAAATAGAGTGGCTATTACAATGATTATGTTGAAAGTAGTGCTGAAAGTAGTGAAAGATATCTTTTCTTTTAGTTTCTTATAAATATTCTGTTCTTATACACAGTAGCGTTTTTCTTCCTCTTACGGATTTGTTAATAGTTTGTACAGAGGTCCTATATATAGCATAGTAGTTCTTACAAGATAATAGAATCGTTCTCTAATGTATAATCGTATGTGTAGTTACAAGTTCGTTAACGCGTATATGTATATATATATATATATGTATAGATCGAAAATCGGACGTCCGATTTTAGCAGCGGTGACATCGTCGAGCGACATGTAGGAACCTCCCTTTCACACACACATTCTCTCTCTTTCTTTCTCTCCAATTCTTTTTCGTAACTTGAAAACAATTGAACTTGACGAGGACCGGAGATCGCATTTTTGCATGGCTATCAACGCGAAATCAATTTCTCGCATGTAAAACAACGTTTGATACGAATGCATTTGTTATTGCATCATACACACGCAGCGTATTTAAGTCAGAAACTCTGATTATTATAAGTAAATTATAAAACGCCAGTCAATTTTTATGAACAAGAAATTTTTTTAAATTGGATATCTATCTCGAGTCTTTAATTTTTAATTTACAGTGAGAAAATACATATATTAATTGCGATTTAAGCAAAGATCATTTATTTCTCTTAATTCTCAATTGCAAGTATTGATTTATATAAATAGAAATAAGAAAAAAGTAAACGAGTGTCAAAACGTTGTATAATTTAAAACATGAATTCATATTAATCGTAATTTGTACAAAGAACATTTATTTATTTATTATTCTTGTTCTTTGCAAATATTACGTTGGATAAATAGAAATAAGGAAAAGATTACGTTGAATCATTAAACAATTTAAAACAATTTAATTTATAAAATGGATATTTTTTTATGTTTGAAATAATAATTTTTATAAAACCTTTGTTCCTAAAAAATAAAAATTGTTCGTGTACTTTAAAAAAATACGATAATGACTCAAATACGTCACTTACGTATCTAAATATTCGCGGGTTGCACAGTTTACGTGCTAGATTCAAGATCTATAACGGAGAAGGACCATTTACAAGACCATACATTTACGCATATATCTGTGAAAGTCATCTTTGAAATTATTTCTCTTCTTTACTTGGCATCTCGTCGTCGGTTTTTATCTGTGACATTTTTATATACTACCGTCGAAGCTTATTTAATAAGTAACAAATCAGAATCGATAACGTGGAACACTATATATCGCCTCCTTTTTCTAATAACAAACTAAACCTTAAACTACGCTAACAAGTGAACTTGCGAATTATTATCATCGAGATGTGTCATTAACACGCTGATTCCAGGCGGAATAAGGATTAGAAAAATTGATGAAAGCGATCAGATTTGCGATTTAAAGAGCGCTATTCATCAGGAAAATAAGACGAATTTTTTAAATAGCGTTAGAAATCGCGATAGTGTGCAATGTGGTAATCAACGTGTCAATCATCTGCTATATAAATTCAAGCTTAGACAAACCTAAATCTCATATCTCTCAAAGCAATCGCTTGCATCGATCGCTTTACGAAGGTCAATCGCTATTCTAAATTGCAATTTATCAACAATTATTACGAAATTATCAATGAGGGTAATTGCGTATATCTCCGAGGAATATTTAAGCATAATCTCAAAAATCAGTTGTCAGTTTCTTAAGTACGTTAAAGCTACGTTAATAATTTACGAATTAATAATTCGCGCGCATGTACATTAATATATGAATATGCATTCATATGTTGTAGCGAATCTCGGAAGAAATGTGCACTCGACGACATTGAAATGCAGTCAAATTTTTTAAGTTGACTGAACTTTGGTCTCTTTTTTTGATTTGCAGCATTAAATAATTTTGGCGCGACTGGGCTCTTAAATAATAAATATTTCTCTTTGTTAAAATTCACCGAACGTCGGCCGTACAACACGATTTATGTATATTATTGAAGGTATGTACATTTTCTCGGAGCCTAATTCGCCAAAATTCTTTAACTTTATACTGACGATACATAATTGCGTAGTTAACGATTTCGTGTTAACGAGGTTTCAAACGAGGTACGCGACTTCTAACAAGATATCTTCTATATAGATACAGAGTAACCCATTTTAATGAATGCTGTAAAATATTTCATAGATTGAAAGCGAATTACATGCATGTATTTTATTTGCTTCGATAGCAGTATTATTATGTGGAGAAAAAAAATAAGTGTCCCGATCATTTAATGCGAAATATTTCACTGCATTAATTACAATGGGACTTCTTTTTTATAGATAATTTATATATATATATATATATATTTATTTATTTATATCTAATTTATGTTTGTAATTGTATTTATATATTTATATTTGCATTTGTCTTTGTATTTATATATTTATGTTCATATGTATATTCGTATTTATATTTATTTCATATTATTCATATGTTCATATTTATAGTTGCGTTTATGTTCATATTTATATTCGCATTCATATATTCATATTTTTATTTATAATTACTTATACATATACATACATATAAATATGTATATATAATTTGCTGTGTCCAGCAACTCTTTGTTTCAGACGTAGAGACATATTTCTCGTGTATCTCCTTCGCGCATGAAAACTGAACGACTGAAAAATCGGTGCATTAAGAACTACCTCAACTTTTTGTGCGCATTTAATGCGAAAGTAATTGGAAACATAATTAAAAAACGACGGATGGCGATGGATGGAAAACGACTGTTCGAAAAAGTGCAGATCGAAAGCGTGGTAAGTGAACGAACTAAACAAAAAAAGAGAAAAAAAGAGAATCGATTCACACTCGTTCGACAGCTGTGAATAATCGTGTACTTTATTTATTTAACGTTTAATTAGACTTTCGCAAGTTTAAAATCCACAATTTAATTCTCTCTCTCTCTCTCTCTCTCTCTTCCCACACTCATTACCTCTATTTTAATTTTAATGTCCATATGATTATTATATATAAGTGTCGCTCTTCACACTCGGTTAATTGATTGCATGTCGTGAGAAACAAATCCCTCTTTTTTTCTGTTTTTTTCCTCTCTTCCTCTTTATTATTAACTTCTTTATTATTAACTTCTTGCACTCGGCGAAACGTAATTGCATATAACTTCCCTAAAATTCACCACACTTTAACCGTAATAAATAATGTTACTCACTGCTTATTTAATTAATCAAGATGATTTGACGAAAACAATCGGCGACACCTCTCGCCGCACACGAGACGATCCCTAGCCGTACCCCATAAAATTAGATAACAACAGAGAGACCCCCGAGAGCTACCAACTAATTTTCAGTAATCGCACAGTGGGCATATCGTTACTTTAAACGTTCAGCGCATCGTATAGCACAAATTACGCGTTATTCGCTCTTTTTTCCTTTCAAACAAGCCTTTTTACAGCTCCCTATACGGCCTCTCTTCGCATATTCACGTTTTCTTTTTGCCCTCGTTAAACGAGCAATCGGCGATTGGAACTGGAATAATCTTTAGTTCCGCCTCGAGATCGAAGCCGCTATAATTGTAATTGTAGATACGTATGTACATCTGTACATGTTCATATATAGACACCCCTTGTAGAAATTAATACTGAGAATTAGTAGAAATTTACAGTGGTAAAGTACTAACAGTATTTCAACGATTATTTGGCCAATGCTTAATTATTAAATACCGGCTTATTACTGGTTCAATGCTGGTTCTGGCAGCCCTTATAGATCCAGCAAACTCCAGTTATAGACGATAATTTCTCGCTCAACAATGTAACTGTTATGTACGACATGTGTTACAGTTATATTATGAAGCGGAGAAATTATAATAAATAGTTATTATTAGTTGATGTTTGCTGGGAAAATTTAATTTAATATACTGGAAGTGATTAATTGCTTACTTTGAATTACAAATATTATTATTCCATATTAAAAGCACTTAACAACAATGTTTTTAATTTTTAAAGTTGAAGAATTTGTACAGTATAGAAACTTGTAGCAATATCCTAAGCAGAACAACAAATCACAATAACTTCAAAATGACGTTCAAATGAATCATAGCTGATTGAAAAGTGACTAAGCTGTATTTTGAAATCATTTTGACATCATTTCGATAATTTATGTTCTGCTTGGGATTATTGGAACATTCCAAGGAACACATAAAAGAAGTAAAAT